AAGGCAGCACGAGTTATCTTTTACATGTGGTATGCAGTAGGAACGTATTATCTTCCATTTTCTGAGTGCAAACTCAGTGTCTTAGCACTCTGTGTAGAATCACCCTTCCTCTGCACATCTACAGCCTCTGTTGGGCACCACAGCATTCATGTACATATTCTCCCACTGACTTGAGGATTTTTTTAATGCTATGCCTCTGATCTCTCCTTAAGTCCATAAAACCAGTCTTAAATCATCATCTAAATGAAGTCTCATTATCTGATAGGGAAGTCCCCTTTCCTTGGTCCCTTAGTGTATACTCTTCTACATGAATTTTGGGGTCACTTTTTGTGGCTGGTGATGTTTAGCTTTATTGTATTGGAGTCAAAGGAAATGTTTGACTTTGGCGCCCATCTAAATGTCACACAGACCCTGATACTAATTTTACTGAAAAGTGGTATGCCCTGGACCATGGCTTTCTAGAACTTTCTAACACTTGGCAAGTCTAACATTTGGAAAAGTAGGTCTGCAAGTGTTGGCTGCTCCCGTTTGGAAATCTTTCTTCTGTTTTCCAGTGCATCTTGATAAGGTCAGATGTCTACCATCACCGATGGATTTTCTTTTTTCTTTTGGGCAGAAAGTGCTTTATTTCTTTCAGTTTGATATGAAACTTCACTATTTTTTTAGTAATTTAAAACAGTGAAGCTATGCATGGAGACACACACTATCATCAGAAGACTTGAGCATTTTGCCAGTCAACATTTTCCTACAAATAGATACATTAGGTTATTAAATAACTTTACTGAATTAGAAAATAACATTTTAAAATAACTGAGGATTCAGATAACCTTATGCTCCCCTATGGCTACATGGTTTTTTTTTTAATTTTTTATTTATTTACATTTTAAATATAAAACTGAGTTTTGATAGCACTTTTAAGAAATTTGCATCCATTTTTTAGAGATTACTATTTGGTGATATAGGTAGCTATCACAATTAATTAGTTCTGAATCCATGTTTGAAAACCTAGCTACTCCTGCTCCCAATTCTTAGCTCAGAATAGGCCAGGCTTAAGTTGAGACTCATCATCCTTTTATTTCTAGTTCCCCATTAGCTACACTGTGTCATATTACAGAAAGCAGCTATTTGACTCCCAATGCAGTCAGGAAATCACTACACAATTAGTTTTTGTTGCCTACTTGGGTTTACAGTCTTGCCTAACCTTAACTCATAGCTGACCAAAAATGGAGCTCAATCAAAAGAAAGACATCAAGAGACAATGCATGACCGTAAACTATTTATTATGTTATACTTTATATCTAGTCATTCTTGGTTAGTGCTGCTTCAACTCCCTGAACTTCTTCTGTATTGAAAGTTTTAAAACTTCTTGTCAACCTCTTCAAGCAAAGACCCACAATCCAGTAGAATTATCTCGAAGAGTAGGTATCATAAGTCTAAATAAATGCAAATTTCTTCTATGGTCTGTTTAGGAATAAGTTTTGAACTGGGGATTGTGAAAAAATATGGTCCTTTTTTGGTCAAGTTTATAAATGCACAGTAATAAACATAAATGCATGAAAATATTTCACATGCACTTTTCTGCTTTTAAAATATTGATATATTCATACAACCTGACCACAACCAAGAAAATGAGTCTATGTGAACAAGTTAACCCTTGCATGTTAAGTATCGCAAGTATCTCTGTGAACTTTAATGATTTCATAATTTATCTCTTCTGCTTCAAAGATTTTGAAGTTCTAGTTTTAGGGGCTGGAGAAATACCTCATCAGTAAGGAGCAGATACAGCTTCAGAGTTTCCTCCCCCAGTACCAGCCACTTTCTCTTTGGAGACATGATCTCTTTCTAGGTTGAGGCTGGCTATTTATGCTAGGCTGGCTGCTAGTGAGCCCCAGGGAAATGCCTGGTTGTGCTCCTCCAGTGCTGTGATTGTAAGCATTCCCTACCGTGGCGGACATTTTTATGTGGTGCAGGTTACCTGACCTGGAACCTACAGCTTGTATGTGCTCTACTGACTGAGCTGTCCTCACTTGTGCTGGCTGGTTTTCGTTAACTGAGAAGATATCTTCGTAAGGTTGGCCTGTGGGCAGTTCTGTCAGACACTGTCTTGATTAATGATTGATGTGGAGTGCCTATCTTCCTGAGAACATCGGTACACCTGCCTGACCCACTTCCTGTTGTGAATTAGTTAGGGGGTAGTCTGGTTAATGCACCGATCTTTAATATAATTAGGATGGTCCCACCTTTAAATTCATCTCACTTTTGAGAGTAGTGGTCAAATTGTGTCTCTGTGTAACATGAGGTGTTCAGTTTTTTTTTTTTAACAAGTTTTTTATTATTATTTATTGTTATTATTTATAACAATTTATTCACTTTGTATTTTGGCTGTAGCCCCCTCCCAGCCCCACCCTTCCTCCCTCTTCTCCCTTTATGCTCCTCCTCTAGTCCATTACCTCCTCCCTTCTAGCTGACCCTAACCTATCAGGTCTCATCAGGACTGTCTGCATCTTACAGTTTTGTGGCCATGTGCTAGATCATTGTGATGGACAGATTTATGCCAACTTGACACAAGCTAAAGTCACCTGAGAGGAGGGAGCCTCACTTGAGGAAATGCCTACCTGGGATCAGGCTGTAGGCAGGGCTGTAGGGCATTTTCTTAATTAGTGATTGATGAGGGAGGGCCCAGCCCATTGTGGGTGGTGCCATCCCTGGGCAGAGCAAGCCAGTAAGCAGCACCCTCTTGATGGCCTCCTCCTCAGGTCCTCCATCCAGGTTCCTGCTCTGTTTGAGCTCCTGCCCTGACATCCTTCAATGATAAATAGTGATGTGGAAGTGTAAGCCAGACAATCCCTTTCCTCCCTAACTTGCTTTTGGTCCTGGTGCTTCACTGCAGCAATAGAAACCCTGAGACAGTCATCAACTGTAAATAAATAAATAAATAAATAAATAAATAAATAAATAAATAAATGCGGTGGGGTGACTGAGTTCAAGCTGCTCGCAGTTGTCTCTGGTGAGAGAGAGGATCGGGTAAATAAAAAGTGTCTCTGAAATGTGCCCATGCATAAGAACAACTGAGCTCTCAGTGAGTTCTCTTTACAGCCTTCCGTAAGGCCATGGATTCTGGCTTACACTCTTTTTTTGGAGGAGGGGCGGGGCAGGTAAAATTGTTGTAAAAGAACTGAACTGGGGTTCTCTGGAAGAGGAGTAACCACTTGTAACCCCCGGGCTGTCACTCTAGTTCGCCTTGACGGTTAGCACTGACTTTTCTCTGTGTGTACTTATCAGCTCCTAGGAAATGGGCTTTGACATAGCACTATTTTTTATTCTCTCTTTGTGTGTGTCTCTGTGTCTTTTTGTCTGTCTCTCTCTGAGACAGAGTCTCTCTATGTATTCTAAGCTGGCCACAGACTTCTGCCTCAATCTCCCAAGTTCTGGGATAACAAGTGTGGCTCACCATTTCTGCCAATAATCTTACATTCTTGTCAAGTGAAATCCTGGGCAGCCTTCCAATGTCTAAATGGATTCAGACTGGGAAATGAGATTTTCCTCAGAATTCTAAAATCTTGGTAAGGCAGTTTTTATTTCAAAGGGTTGTCCTAAGTTCCTGTCGGTCATCTTTCCAGTTTTACAGGAATTGAGTAAGAAGGCCATGGGACTTGAACCAGAAGTGAAAAGTCTTTGTTTTGTTTTGCCCTGCAAAATACAGAATTCGACCAGTAAGAGGAAAACGCATTCTGACAGCCATCAGGCTTGGTGCACAGCCTCTGGTGATGTGAGCCACTTAGCTGGACATTGCCCACATTGTAGGACAAAATAATTAGTTAGACTTAAAGAGAACTATGGTTTTCACTGAGCCCGCAGGCACCTCACACTCTACTGTTTATCCCGAGTCTCCATTTGCCCCTGTGATGGAGGCTTCTCCCGGCAAGGAACTGCCCAATGTAGTATACAGAAAAAGCAACATCCACTATTTCTAATTACGCTGTGGGATATGCTGGCTTCCCTTCAGATTACATAATTCTTTAGTCTTTTACAGTTCTACCACGAAGCCCAGTGGAGCCATTGAGTCCTGTATTATCTCCACAAAGTCACCTTCGCCTGTTTCTGAAGGCATTTCATGTAGGCTTTCAAGAAGAAAATTAAAAAAACCCAAAGTCTGAGTTTCAGTTACAGATACAAAGGGCTACAGCCACTAACTTGAACTATGGTGGGTATAATGACTAGGTTCATTCTGGCTTCAGAGAATTCAAACCTGAGTAGAGATATTCATTCGGGCAAAATTAATATGTGTCAGAAATGAAAAGCCAGATGTTGGTCATAGCCATATAATTACTTTTAAAAATTCACTGAGTCTTTTCAAGATAGGGGAATCAATTAGTGAATAGCAAGTTACATCCAAGAAGAAAACTCTTCCCATTGTTTATTGTTCAAAAGTATTATTAGAAAATGTATTTTTGAACAGCGAATACAATCTTAATGTAAAAATAAGGCTAGAATCTTTCAAATAAGATTGGAAAAAAATTAAAGCCAACCACCAGGAATGTACAGCTATGCATGCCTGTATCTAGCTGAAGCAGTACAGCTGCTTGAACTCCGGGTGTTCGAGACTGGCTTGAACAACACAGTGAGAGTTTATCTTTTACAAAAAGAGGATGATTGACTTTTCAAACTTATGAGTCACATGTAATCTTCCAACTTGAAACTTGCCCTTAAAACTGGAAGATATTTTCACATAGAAATGCTTTAACTTTGCACACAGCTGAGTTTGAACCTCTTTTTTTTTATTTTTGGTTTTTGGGTTTTCAAGACATGGCTTTTCTGTGTAGCCTTGTCTACCCTGAACTCTGTAGAACAGGCTACCTTGAACTCACAGAGATCCTCCTGCCTGTGCCTCTCCTAGTGCGGAGGTTATAGGCTTCTGGCTCTTCTTGATGTCTTAAGTAACATATAAAATTGATAATAATCCCAGAGTCTCCTTCCTGCTGATTTAAAATCAAAATCAGGTGCTCTCTTCAATGGTACATATGCTAAAACTGAAACCATGTAGGGAAGATCAGCATGACGCCTGCGAAAAGATGACATGAAATCCATAAAGCAGTCCATATTGTAAAAATAAATGAATAAATAATCAAATCTAATCAATTTCTTTTGAAGGCAATGGTGATAGCCATCCTCCAGCACTGATTTTTACTTTAATATTGAGGCTGGGGCAGAAAGATGATGAAATCAGAGGAGTGGGGATGGGGCTTCTCTTTGCAATAGTTGGTTTGGTGTTGAGTAAAAACCAGCATCTGTGTGGCTAAGACATGAGACTAAAATACCTAAAAGGTCTAAAAATGCCACAGGTGAGGTGATGAGCATTTCCTTTCAAAGTAAGCAGAGTGAAGGAGAGCTGCCCTCCGAGGATCCGAATCCAGGGTTTTAGAATGCCAGTGGGAACACCTGTCATGTTCTGCTAATGTGCTTTTCCTGCTTCAGCGTCAGTGTTAAGCTGGGCTCTGCAAAGGCAGCTCCGTATTTGCCTCCCAAGCGCTGTTTCTAAATGGAGATAGTTTCTGATGCTGGTTGGGAGGAACCTTGTGCAGGAAAGGGACTTGTCAGCAGGCAGATGATGTTTTCGTGTCTTTACTGTGTAAACATGTCCTCGTTATCCACTAGCATCAAGGCACATGCCTCATGAAACAGTCTGTCAGACAATCAGAGCCATACCGCGTCAATGCTCCTGAAGAACAACGTTCATTTGGCCAAGATAAGCTGGGCTTGCAAGGACTAGGGGAGAAAGGTTGGTACTGTGAGGCGCTGTCCAGTCCTGATCCACACATGGTTTAAGATCTGATTGTGGGAAGTGGCAACGCCCACAAGCCTTTGAAGCACTGAAACCGAAGTATCTCAGTTTCAGAGGAACTCGCTGCCATTTGCCTCACTATAAAGTCTTTGACTCATTTCCTTCTGTTTAAACAATACCAGTTAAAAAAATGAAACCCTGAAGAGACAATTTCTTGTGATTATTTATGGGAAAATAATATTTACTTTTTCATAAATGTACCATTTGCGCTCATGTTTACCTTTTTAACGCCTCTGATCATATCTAGAGTCAGAGAGGGAAAGCAGAGCTTGCTCATGGCAGATTTCCGAGGGATGACCCTGGGAGGCAGTCTGGATTGGAGTCAGTTGTACCCAAAGTTACACCTTCCCAGCCCAAAGATGAGTAGGTGCCAGTCAGGTGAAGGGGGGGCGGTTCCTGAGTGCAAAACTAAAACTGGGATTCTGGGAGAACCTAGGCTGTGGACCAGCAGCTGATAATGCAATGGGAGGGGTCAAAAGAAAGGAGCTCATGGTGAAGTGTAGGTAGTCCCTGTTTGGAAAGAAAACAGAGAACTACAGAGCAGGAGGGGAACAAAAAAGCCAAAACCTTACTCAGTTTTACCTGGAGGTCAGTTACAAAATATACCTTCAGAAGCCCTGAAGGGTTTTTCGTATATCTTTATTTTATTTAATTTGTCTACTACCTATTTTAGTGACTTAAACTTTCATTTTATTTAATTTTGAACTTCTCACAGACAAACAAAATTGTAGTGTACTCACAGCATGTGGCATCATGTTTTCATGCATGTATCTTAGAATGACCAGACTGACGTACTCAGTATATCTGTTACCTCACGTGAGGCTTTGTTGTGGAGACCATTTCAGATCTGCTCCTTAAACAACTTGCGAGGCCACGATGTTACTGACCACGCAGCACGTTATAGCACTTATTTCTGGTGTCTGATGGAACTTTGGTGTCTGTTGAATTACATCTCTTCCAGTTGCCCTACTCTCCATTTTATTCTGTTTTTATGAGCCCGGTTATTTTTTTAAACACTGCGGATACAGGTGAGACTGTGCAGTGTTTGACTTTCAGTGCCCGGACAGCTTCTATATTTACCCGCGTTGCAAAAGCTGATAATTTCTTGTCTCAGAGACTGAATTACATTCCATTGTCTAGTTAGACCACACTGCCTGTATCTCTTCATTGGCGAATGGAAACCCAATTTGATTCCGTGTCTTAGCTATTGAGAATGATCATGGGAGTCAGATATCTTGACACATCCAGGACTGCTTCATCATCCGGTAGTTTGGAGGAGTAAGTATCTTTATTTTTAGGGAAATATCCTGCTGCTTTCCACAAGGCTACACGATCCCCACCCGCTGCTCACCAAGGGTTTCATTTGTTTGTTTTACAGTGAAGATTGGACCCAGACTCTCACACATGCCAGGGCAGCACTCTACTTCAGAGTGACATTCCCAGCTCCTCCTCTTTGTATGTTTTATTATCTTGATAGCAGTTATCCTAACAGGTGTGAAGGGATGGCTCATTGTGATTTTAATTTGTGTTTCCCTAGTGATTAGCAATCTGGAAGTTTTTTTTTTTTTTTTTCCATATACCCGCTGGCCATTTGTACGTCTTCTTTTGAGAAATGTCTGCACAGGTCTAGTTTCCCTGAATTTCAATGAACAAGTTAAAGCTAGCAGCTAAGTGATTTGTCTCATCCACTCACTCACTAATTCATTAAGAATATTGAGTGCCTGTTCTATGCCAAACACTGTCAGGAGAAATACATTCAGGGATAAAGCCGTGCCTCTCTTTTTGTGAGATTTATATTTAAAACGACAACACTGGCTCTTACTGAACACTTGCCTCATGCAAGACACTTTTCTTGTGCTCTCATTTGCTCCCCACAACTCTACCCAGTCCCCCATTTGTCCCACTTTCTACGTAGAGAATTAGAATTCCGAAGACAAAAGTACCTGCTTAACAGCTGATGCAAAAACCCTGAGGCAGAATACCCAATGAATCCCTACACCATGGCAGGAGAGGGGCAGTTCCAGTCCATGAAAGCCCCAGACGTAGGTGAAGTTAAGGAGCATCTGCCTGTGCTGCAGATGTCCAACAGCCTTCACGTAGGTCCTCTTCTCTGCTCATGTCACATCGGAAGACAGTGCACCACTTAAAAGGAGCTCTTATGCCCTGCTCAGTTTTTATTGACATAGAGTCATCTTGGAAGAGGGAGCCTCAACTGAAGAGTTTTCCAGATCAGATGGTCCTGGTTGATGCTTGACATGGAAGGCTTCTGAACCAGAAAACCTGCTAGCAGGCAGGCATCCTCCTTGTGGTTCTTGCTGTGCTCCTACTTTGCTGAGTAGTAAGCAGGCCTGTTTTCAAACTCTTGCTGGGCTTTTACCTTGACTTCTCCCAGTGATGACCTATGATCTGGAAGTGAAAGACATAAGAGGAAAGGTTTTTCCTCTTTTTTTTTTTTTTTTTTTTTTTTATATAGGGTTTCCCTGTGTAGTTCTGGCTGACCTGGAACTTGCTCTATAGAGCAGTTCTGGCCTTGAGTTCAGAAATATGCCTGTCTCTGCCTTCTGAATACTGGAACTAAAGGTGTGAGTCATTACCACCTGGCGACCTTTCCTCTTCTAAGTTGCTTTTGGCCACAGTGTTTTATCACAGTGTCAGAAAAGTAAACTATAGAACACTTTCTCTAGGACCTGAGAATTTATCTGTTGATAAGGAACCCTGGGGATTTGGGCTTGAAAGGCCAAGGGAAGATGAGTGAAATGAGAGAGCGCGCGCGCGAGAGAGAGAGAGAGAGAGAGCGAGAACACAACAACAACAAAGCATGGGAAAGCAATGATGGATGAGAACTTCAGGATAATTTGCGGACCCCTCCCCCAACACACTCTCTTGCTGCCCATTTCTACTTTTTTTTTATTTGTTGGGCAATCAGACAGAATTTAAATCCCAGATCTGCCACACTTGGCTGTGTGGTCTTGGATCTGTGACTAACCTCTCTGAACATCAAGAATTCAGTTTATACAATTACAGTATAGCATCTTTTAATAAAATTAAAAGGATAATCTAATGTCATTGAAAGAAACAGAGATAGGCACCTAGAAAGGTCTCTGGCACACACAATTATTCATGACTAAAGCATATTGATTTTACTTATAAGGCAATACTGTATTATTTAAATGAGTATAGCATACTATATAAGCTACAACATTTTTCCTATACTTTCTTCATTGCCTGTCTAGCTAATCAAGCATTGTACTTGAGTTGAGCAGGATTAGGTCTTTGGCTTAGTCTGTGTCCTAATTGATTTGAGTTGCTGTAACTAAAGTATTACAGGCTGAGTGGCTACATATAACAGAACTTATTTCTAGAGGCTTAGAGTCCTCTATCAAGAAGCCAGCAGATGTGGTTGAAGGCAAAGGTCTGTCTCCTGGTTTATAGATAAAGCCTCTGCTGTGTCCTCATGTAGTGCACAGGGTACGGGCTATGAAATATCTTTTTATACAATTAGTCATCTAGTTGGTGAGGACCCCAGCCTCATAATCTAATCATCTCCCAAAGGCCCCACCTCCTCCTGCCGTCACATCAAGGTGGATAAGTCTCAGATATTTCTTGGTTAGGGGGAACCTACTAAACCCCTAGTGACAGTCTTCATGTGTGCTCTGTCCTGGACAATTTGACCACACATCAAGGGAATAACTATCAAGGCAACAACCTGGCCATGCTGCTGTCCCCTTAGGGCAAGCAGGGTCACTTGGGTAAAGTTGCTATTTGATTAGATTTTATCTTGACATTTTTCACTGAAACCAGCCATCTCTTTAATGATCCATTTCATGACTTTACATTTAGTCTCGGTTTCCTGGACCAATGTAGACCAAAATATATGGAGCCCATATAACATAAAAGTAATTGAGTAGAGGGTAAGCTGCCATGTTTTCTATTATGTGTGAAGACCAGCTAATGGCTTTCAAAAGCCATTGCTCACCAGTCAGATGAAGAATTTCTAGATACTTAGGGCTCTGCACACAAGGACTTTCTAAATTTTTATAAAGAAACCCACATAGGAGTGAATTGTACACACGGTTCTCTCTAATCATTGAAAAATTATAGGGAATATTAGTTTATTTGCTAGACAAGCTAAAGGTGGGCCTGGCAATTTATATTCCAGTAAGGCTAGCTGAGGATTTGAAGAGGGTGAAGGTGGTAGCTTGGATGAGATTGTCTCTCTAGGCTCATGTATGTGAACACTCTGTCTCAAGTTGATGGGGCTGCC